TTTTTTTTTGGAGAGGTTTTTGCTATAGGGCGCATGCGCTCGCCAGAAAGGCAAAGAGAGACAGAAAGTGAGAAATCACCCCCCAGTGGGGTTGGCCACACTGCAATCCCTTCTCCTTCATTCTCCTCTCGGGATCTTGGGCATGCATGCACACGCACCCAGTGTGAGTTTAAGCCAGGACTCAAACCACAGTTGACTACGTGGGAGTCCAGTGATGTAGCCATTATGCTAACTGCTGGTCCCAATTTTATTTAAAGACATCTTACAAGAAACCCAAATACAGTGAAAATTGGATCACTCTTATAGAGCCCAGATGGTATAACCTACCTTAGTACTTTGTTTAAATTTCAACTTTGCTTAAATATAAACTCTTTGGACCCCTTAGGGCTCCATGGACCCTCTCAAACGAACAAGAAGTGGGGCAGTATTAACAGATGAGAAGCCCAGACTTCCACTTCCCTGTAACTAGAATGGCTGAATTTTCACTATTTGCATATTAGATTCATGAAAAGATTTCTTGGGAGGGGAATTTCCCATAAAAATCTCCCTCCTCCATTCTGTTCAAAATCCTTTAAAATAGCATATATCACCCCCCTTTTTTTAACAGCCCAACACCACAAAAGAATGTCGCTATACATAATCATGGGTCACTCTGGCAGAGGTGCTCAAAGTTGAGCGAGGGTGACTCCATTGAGAATCACTCAGCCAGATAAGCTGAATGATAAGGATGAAACCCAAGCCCCATCATATGGGGACAATGCAGACCTGCCCCAGCGAGAGACTTTCTGTGATGTCCATAACCTATGTTATAAAGCAAGAATACTCGACGGGGTTATGGAAAGATATGACTAAAGATATTATTCACTATCACACAGCGGCCTTTTGAGAAAAATGCCTCCCAATGGCAGGAACAGAAGGGCCATTTCCCCAAACAGTCCTGTGGTTTTATAGTAGACTTCATTGTCCTCTTAGAGTTTCCTACGGGAGAGAGCCACATTCATAGCCCTCCCATAGCACGGATAGAACCCCAAAGCTTGCAACTTGAATACTGACCTTGTTCCTTGCTACTTCTTTCTTTTTTTAAAAAATTTATTTATTTATTCATTCATTTATTTTAATTTGACCAGAGAGAGACAGAGAAAGAGAGAAAGTGATAAAGCAAGCCACCAGGTCCAAGACTTGAACCGCAGTCGGCCATGTGGGAGTCCAGCACCCTTGATCACCATGCCACCTGCTGGCCCTCATTATGCATTTTCAAATACTGAGGACATCAGCTACAAAATGTTTTAAAATGATGCAGGCTACAGATTCTGGCTCTTGTTGTCATTGATGTGATAGACCTAAAGCCTAGTCCTAAATTGCCTTATGGGAGAGAATAAATTAAGGAGAGAGAGACTTACATTGAGTTTTTCAAATACAAACATATTATTTAAAAAGTTATTAGAAGTTAAAACATGAAATGTATGGAAAATAAGCATCTGAGACTCTTTGTAGTTTGTAGTAGAATCTACTATCAAGAGGACCAGCAGGTGGTGTGGTGGTTAAGGCGCTGGACACGCCCACATGGCCAGCCACGGTTTGAGTCCTGGACCTGGTGGCTTGCTTTCCTGCTTTCTCTCTTTTTCTCTCCGGTCAAATTAAAATAAATGAATGAATAAATTTTAAAAATTAAATAATTCTTTAAAAAAAAAAAAAAAACCGATGGTAAGGAGCCAGCAGGTGGCTTAGTGATTGGGACACTGGACTTCCACATGGCCGACCATGGTTGGAGTCCTGGACCCAGTGACTTAAAACTCATGCCAGGGGTGTGTACATGCCCAGGATCTCAAGAGGAGAATGAAGAAGGGATTGTGGCGTGGCCATCCTCCCGGGGGGGTGATTTCTTGCTTTCTCTCTCTCCATCTTTTTCTGACTCTCTGGTGTCTGCATGCACCCTACAGTAAATATCTCCCTCTCAAAAAAACAAACAGACAAACAAAAAATGATGGTAAAATTATGAAATAATTTGAATTGGCATTAATTGGAATTGTTTCCACCCCCCCCCCAGATTAATCTTCTGGGTTTCTAGGTATATCTGTGTTAAAAACACGTATGTAATAAAACCTCAAAACTAGCAAATGTCATGTTCTGAAACTGTATAGTATACATTGGATTACCAGTTTGCTAGAACAAAGAATATTTGGTATGTCATATAATATGCAGGAAATTTTTTCTTCTCCCCAATTTTCTTTTCTTTTTCTTTCAGGGCTCATGTACTTACAGGGAGAGAGAGAGCGAGCGAGCGAGCATCCCCCCAGGGGGCAATGATCATGCTGCAAACCCCACTCCTCTGTTCTCCTTTCAGTAGTGTGGGCGCACTTGCATGCACACAGGCCCAGTGTATTTTTCAAAGTGTGCAGCTGGTCACGTGTGCCTTACTAGCATGCCACCTGGCTGTCCCTCTTCCCAAAGTGTTACGAGTGTTTTTATATTGTCAGATTTAAAACGGTTTTTTAAAGAGTTATTTTATTTTAACTTTATTTATTATTACTATTATTTTCCAATTCTACCAGAGAGAAAGAGGGAAAGTGAGAAAGAAAGCCACCAGGTCTGGGACTTGAACACATGGTTGGCCATGTGGGGTTTCAGCACCTTTAACCACCATCCCACCTGCCGGCCCCTAAAACATTTTAACTGTGAATCATTATTTAAACATATAGTTGCCAAAATACTTTTTCTTTTCGTACCAAAACTTTTGGAACCACATTGAGCATTTAGAGCAATATTTTTTATTCTTGGCTTCTAGAATTTAATTTCAATGTCAGATTTAAAAAAAAATATTTTAACTTTATTGTTGTTATTATTTTCCAATTTGACCAGAGAGAGAGAGAGAGGGAAAGTGAGAAACGAAGCCACCAGGTCCAGGTCTTGACCCACAGCTGGCCATGTGGGAGTCCAACATCTTTAACCACCATACCACCTGCTAGCCCCTCAATGTCAGATTTTTAAAATAAATTTAATTTTGGAGTTGTAGTTTAATGTTGGAGTCCAGCACCTTAACTACCATGCCACCCGACGGCCCCAATTTTTAATTTTTAAATAATCTGTTTATATATTATGAAGCAAATGCTCTTTTGTAAGTTCAGTATAGCAATTTAATTGGTGTTGTGAGAAAAAGAAAAATATGTTATTAAAGATTTTGGTATTAATTTGGCAATTGATCATTTTGTAATCAAATATTTTTCCCAATTGAGTAGAAAGTGCATAAGTATTTCAACGTTAATCTTTTAAACATGGTGTTAAAATTTTTTTTGATCTGGGGCTGGCAGGTGCCATGGTGGTTAAAGCACTAGCCTTCTACATAGCAGACCATGATTTGGGTCCTGGACAACTTGCTTTCTCATTTTCCTTCTCTCATTCTCTCTCTCAGTCTCTGTTTGGTCAAATTAAAAAGTAGTAAATAACATTAAATAAATAAATATTTTCTTAAAGAATTATTTTATTGCTATTATTATTTTTAAATTATTTAATTAATTTATTATTTATTTATTAATTTATTTTTTATGTTTATTTTGATGAGAGAGAGAGAGGGAAAGTGAGAAAGCAAGCCACCAGATCTGGGACTTGAACCGTGGTCAGCCATGTGGGAGTCCAACACCTTAACCATTGCACCGCCTACTGGCCCCTTAAATAAATAATTCTTTTTCTTTTTTTTTTAAAGAATTATTTTATGGGGCAGGCAGGTGGCATGGTGGTTAAGGGCACTGGACATGGCAATCTGTGGTTCAAGTCCCGGGCCTGGTGGCTTGCTTTCTCACTTCCCTCTCTCTTTCTTTCTCTCTCTCTCATGCTTTCCCTCTCTGGTCAAAGTGAAATTAATTAATTAATTAAGTTAAAAACAAGACAAAATACTAAGACTTGTAAGAGCGGGACACAGTGACATTTCTAGTATGAACAAAAAGCAGTGAAGAACTAATTTTCTCAGAGAGCAAAGGAAATGAATATACTCAACTTCGTTAACTCTCTCTGTTTTGGTTTCCACAGCAAGAAAAATTCCTACTGGCTTTAAATTAAAATGGAAAAGTATGAGAACCTAGGATTGGTTGGAGAAGGGAGTTATGGAATGGTGATGAAGTGTAGGAATAAAGATAGTGGAAGAATTGTGGCCATCAAGAAGTTCTTAGAAAGTGATGATGACAAAATGGTTAAAAAGATTGCCATGCGAGAGGTCAAGTTACTGAAGGTGAGCAAATGCGTATACTGAATTGAAGAAAATGAGTTGTTTATTGATCAAGATTAACTCGTGGTTTTTGGAAAACATTACTGTGTTTTTTATATTTGTTTTCTCTTCATAACAAGGTTTCAAGTATAAATATATATTTTTGGCAATAAAAATACAGTGATTGAAAATAGGAATTCATTTCTCTCTTGAATGTAAACATACTTCTTAAAGTGAATAGTCGTTTTTCCTCTCAGTTTCTATCTGCTTATCTGTCTGTGTGTCTGTCCGTCATCTATATGTCGATTACCTGGGCTGGGAGTTCCAAAGGCCACTCTCAGGTTCAGGCCTTACTAGAACTCACAGATGCTCTCAGGGTTATAATTTGTTACAGTGAAAAGATATAAAACAAAAACAACAAAGAGGAAAAGCACATAGGGTGAATTCCTGACCAAGACTGGCACTAGCTTTCAAAAGGCCTCTTCTAGTGGGGTCACACAGGACAGTTATTTTCTCCAGCGAGTTGTGACTACACATGTGAAATATTGTCTGTCGGAGAAATTCATTAGAGACTCAGCACCCAGGGTCTTTTATGGGCAGCTGGTCACATAGGTGTTCTCTGCCTGTCATGTATCAAAACTCCAAACTCTCAGAAGGAAAACAGGAATTCAGGTCAAACAATATTGTTTGTACCGTGATGTACTTCATCAGTTCTGGGAATGAGAGGAACCCTCCTGAAATCCACGTTCCCAGCTGCCAGCCAACGGCCCACTTTCCAAGCAGATCTAGTTTTCTTTTCCTCAAAAAAATAGTTATTGGGGACCAGCAGGTGGCATGGTGGTTGAGGCGATAGACACTCCCACATGGCTGACACAGTTCGAGTCCTGGACCTTGCTTTCTCGCTTTTCCTCTCTCTCTTTTTCTCTCTCTCTCTGTGTCTCTCCCTGGTCAAATTAAAATAAATAAATGAATAAATAAAATTTAAAAATAAGTAATTCTTTAAAAAAATAGTTATTTACTTAATGTTATTTATCATTGTTACTGTTATTTTAGTTTGCTACAGGGCTCATGTGCTCACCAGAGAGATAAAGAGAGAGAGAGAACATGAGAATGCAAGCTGCCAGGTCCAGGGCTTGAACCATGGTTGGCCATGTGGGAGTGTCCAGTGCCTCAATCACTACGCCATCTGCTGGCTCTATTATTATTTTTTAATTTGACCAGAGAGAAACAGAGAGAGAGAAAAAGGAAAAGTGAGAAAGCAAGCTACCAGATCTGGTACTCGAACTGTGGTCGGCCATGTGGGAATCCAGTGTCTTTAACCACTATGCCACCTGCCAGCCCCGAGATAGATTCTTTTTAAATTTCCAACCTTTTTTCTCCCTCACATATGTATTTCCCTCTAAGAACAATTTGGTGTGTATCCCAGAACTTTATCTAATTTTTTGCAAGACATGTGTGGGCTCACCTGAGAGAGAAAGAGACACACAAAGTCCCTTCCAATGGGGCGTGGTCATGCTGCCAATCTTTTTTCTCCATTTCTCCACCTTATCATGTTTTTGGCCTTGAATGCACACATGTACAGAGTGGTTTTCAAGCCACGGAGGCCAGGATTTCAACCTTAGTTGGCCATGTGGGATCCAGCTTCCAATGTATTACTCTTAGTTACTGAGCTACAGGGCTGACTTATCACAGAAATTCTGAGCATTAACTGAAAATATTTCTCTTCCTTTTTTCTAAGAATTATTTATTCAACTTTATGCATTATTATTGTTATTTTTACATTTGCCATAGGGGATGTGTGCTCACCAGAAAGAGAGAGAAAGAACATGAGAAAACAAGTCACCAGGTCCAGGACTCAAACCGTGGTGAGCTAAGTGGGAGTCCAGCACCCCAACCAACATACCACCTCCTGGCCCCAACATTCCTTTTTTCTAATAATTTGGAAAATTGTTGTTAATATTATCCAATACTTTTATCCTTCTTCCAGACAGTACAAAAATCTCGTAGCCCTTTACCTCTGGTTAATCCCTTCCTTCTTATAGCTAACCTTGTCATCTATTAACTCTCATAACTTTTCTTTTTGAAATCCATGAAATATATTATTGTTCAGTGTTCATTTAGTTGTATCGTCACCACGTTCTTTGTTTTCCCTTGATTTCTGCATCTCCTGGGATTTCTTCCCTTCTTTTTGAAGTACATTATTTCAGATTTCTTCTTGTGAGAAAAAATTTTCAATTTTAGTTTGTGTGAAAATATCCTTATTTTGCTGTTATTCCTGAAAGATGTTTTTGCTATGTATAAAATTTTCAGTTGGCAGTTACAGCCATTATTTTCTGTCAACAAAATGAAGATAATTTATTCTTTCCTCTGGCTTCTATTGTGGCTCTTGAGAAGTCAACTGTCACTCTAATTGTTCTTTTGTAGGTTTGTTCTTTTATGTCTGAATCTAATTTTTCTTTCAACTCTTTTATTGACATATAATATACATAAAGAAAAGTGTACATGTTGTAGGCATATACTTTATGAATTTTCAAAAACTGAACAAGCTCAAGTAATCAGCACCTAAGTCAAGAAACACATTAACCCCCCCCCCCCAAAGCCCCCTTAAGTCCTGGTCATGCTGCCAATCTTTTTTCTCCATTTCTCCACCTTATCATGTTTTTGGCCTTGAATGCACACATGTACAGAGTGGTTTTCAAGCCACGGAGGCCAGGATTTCAACCTTAGTTGGCCATGTGGGATCCAGCTTCCAATGTATTACTCTTAGTTACTGAGCTACAGGGCTGACTTATCACAGAAATTCTGAGCATTAACTGAAAATATTTCTCTTCCTTTTTTCTAAGAATTATTTATTCAACTTTATGCATTATTATTGTTATTTTTACATTTGCCATAGGGGATGTGTGCTCACCAGAAAGAGAGAGAAAGAACATGAGAAAACAAGTCACCAGGTCCAGGACTCAAACCGTGGTGAGCTAAGTGGGAGTCCAGCACCCCAACCAACATACCACCTCCTGGCCCCAACATTCCTTTTTTCTAATAATTTGGAAAATTGTTGTTAATATTATCCAATACTTTTATCCTTCTTCCAGACAGTACAAAAATCTCGTAGCCCTTTACCTCTGGTTAATCCCTTCCTTCTTATAGCTAACCTTGTCATCTATTAACTCTCATAACTTTTCTTTTTGAAATCCATGAAATATATTATTGTTCAGTGTTCATTTAGTTGTATCGTCACCACGTTCTTTGTTTTCCCTTGATTTCTGCATCTCCTGGGATTTCTTCCCTTCTTTTTGAAGTACATTATTTCAGATTTCTTCTTGTGAGAAAAAATTTTCAATTTTAGTTTGTGTGAAAATATCCTTATTTTGCTGTTATTCCTGAAAGATGTTTTTGCTATGTATAAAATTTTCAGTTGGCAGTTACAGCCATTATTTTCTGTCAACAAAATGAAGATAATTTATTCTTTCCTCTGGCTTCTATTGTGGCTCTTGAGAAGTCAACTGTCACTCTAATTGTTCTTTTGTAGGTTTGTTCTTTTATGTCTGAATCTAATTTTTCTTTCAACTCTTTTATTGACATATAATATACATAAAGAAAAGTGTACATGTTGTAGGCATATACTTTATGAATTTTCAAAAACTGAACAAGCTCAAGTAATCAGCACCTAAGTCAAGAAACACATTAACCCCCCCCCCCCCGAAGTCCCCTTTAACTCTCCCCCCGAGAAGTCCCCTTTAAGTCTCCTCCGGTCACTACTGCCTTCTTCCTCCTCCCAGGTAACAACTATCCTGATTCTGAAAAGTAGAAATTGGCTTTGTTTTCTGGCTACTTAAAATGTGTTTCTTTATAAGTTTAGTGGTTTTTTTTTTTTTTTTATTTAAGTTTTACTATGATGGGATATCTTTTAGTTTATCATGCTTAGAATTCATTGGATCTTGATGAATCTATGATATGATTTCTTTTATTAATTTGGGAAATTTTCAGTTATTTCTTGAAATATTATTTCAGTCCTTTTTCTTTCTTATCTATTTTTTTAAGAGTTTTTTGCTATAGGGTATGTGTGCTCGCCAGAAAGACAGAGAGACAGAGAGCGAGAAATCACCCCCCAGGGGGGATGGTCACGCCGCAATCCCTTCTCCTTC